ATACATTTATGTGTTTCTCTATCTCCTTTATATATTTTTACCAAAACATGAGATTATGTTGGACGATCAATGAAATCAGAATAAAGTCCATAGATTAGATAGTAGTATTGATTGGTTGTAATTTGTTGACTTTTATAATTATCCTGTAGTTATATAAGAAATTTCCTTGTATTAATATTTGGGGAAAACACATCAATATAGTTAGGGATAAAGGGGCATCAGGTACTCCAGCTTGCTTTTGATTAAAAAAAAAGAAGGGGTATCATTTCTGCAAACATACTCTTAAACAGTTCAGAAATATGTGTGTGTGTGTTTATGGAGAGAGAGAGAGAGAGAGAGAGAGAGAGAAGGATAAAGCAACTGTAGTAAAATGGGAAATCCAGAATATCCAGGAAATCTTCCTTCTATTCTTGCAACTTTTCTGTAAATTTGAAATAATGTCAAAGTGAAATTTAAAAACATGAGATCATGCCATGCATCTTACTCAGTGACTTGCATTTGTTTACTTAGCCATATACAACAGATATTTTTTTCCAGGTGAACACATATAGTTCCTACTCGTTCTCTTTAATAGCTGCATAATGTTCCATTGCATAAATACATCCTAATTTAGGCTGGGCGCAGTGGCTCATGCCTGTAATCCTAGCACTCTGGGAGGCCGAGGCTGAAGGATCGCTTGAGCTCAGGAGTTCGAGACCAGCCTGAGAAAGAGTGAGACCCCCCCCCATCTCTACTAAAAAACAGAAAGAAATTAGCTGGAAGACTAAAAATATATAGAAAAAATTAGCCGGCAGTGGTGGCGTGTGCCTGTAGTCCCAGCTACTCGGCAGGCTGAGGCAGAAGGACTGCTTGAGCCCAGGAGTTTGAGGTTGCTGTGAGCTAGGCTGATGCCATGGCACTCTAGCCTGGGCAACAGAATGAGACTCTGTCTCCAAAAAAAAAAAAAATACATCCTAATTTATTTAGCCATTCCTCTTTTGATAGGGCTTCTCTTTAAATGCAATCTTAATTATATGTTCAAGGCTTATATATGTTTGTATTTCTTTTCAGTCTGTTTTGTTCCATTGATCTACCTGCCTATGACAATGCTATACTGTTTTGACTTTTATCATAAGACCCAATACCTGGCAGGGCAGAACACTTCTTGCTATTTCTTTATTTCATGAAGTGTTCATGGCCATTTTTGAATATTTATCTTTCCATATGAACTTGATATTTCCCTCTATATGCATGTTTTCTTAAAAATTTTTATTTAAAAAATAAAATTGTTGTCATATCCTTGTCTATGCATTTTAAGATAATTTTTATTTAGTTCCAAAACCAAAAAAAACAGAACAAAAATCTTGGTTGGGGTTTCTAATTGCAATCGCCTTAAATTCGAAGGTTACACCTTGGGAAGGACTGCCTTACAGGAACACGGTGTAGCTCTTTACATGTGGAAGTATTTAAAGCAAGCCTACATAAATAAGTAAACTATATAAACAGAGATCATTTGCATTAAAAAATACGTTGAGGGCTCCCATCCTCAAGAGATAGCTGAGTCTGCCTTTTTAAAAAATCCACCTCCTTCTGTGAGGACAAACCCCGAAGAGACTCAGCTGCCCTTATTTTTAAATTTTATTTTATTTTGTTTTTAGAGATTGCAGGGGGGGCGGGGGTGTGTGTCTCTCTATGTTGCCCAGGATGGTCTTGAACACCTGGCCTCAAGCGCTGGGATTACAGGTGTGAGCCACACGCCTGGTTGCAGCTGCTCTTAGAAAGGTTGACTCGAGCTGCACGGTGCTATTTGGCACTTTGTCACATGTGTCTCTCCGGGGATCCTTGACACACTTCCCTGTGTTATTATGCCCATTTTACAGAAGGAGAAACAGAAGCTTGGAGAGGTGTGGTGATTTGCCAACATTGCCCTAGAGCTAGCAGTGTCTGTGCTGGCCTGATGCCCAAGGGTTTTCAGGAAGCTGCTGCCTCCTGTCCTGGTCCTGATCTTTGGCTTCTCGATGGCTGGTGGTACTTTTGATCTTTGGCAGCTCCTCAAACAATCTCAGACATCTAGGCACAAGGTGGCACTTGGTTTGGTGGGTGGGGTTCGGCACAGGGCCTGTCTATTGTGCTCAAGGAAAAGGCTGCCAAGAGATTACAGGCTTCACTTTCTCACGAAACTGTGGGGTTCTGGCCTTAGGGAGTTAAAAAAATCTTCCTCGAAGTGAGTATCTGCTGTCAATTCCTCACTCTACTACTTTGCTTCACTGGGCTGCATCTCTGCCTGTCTGAATATGACCCGTTCTTCAAATCCCAACTTAAATGCCTCCTCCTCCATGAAGCCTTTTCTGATTCCTCTTTTCCTTCCAGCCTCCTCCTCCCCACTATGCTAGGTATGAGCCCACCTTTCTTGGAATGCATTCACTTCTTTGCTGTGATTGTCATTAAATAGTTGACCTCTCTGAGCCTCTATTATTTCATCTGTAAGACTGAAATATTATCTGCCTTGTAAGGCTGTTGTGAAGACTGCATTAAAAGAAATAATATGTAAAGCTCAGTCCTAGGCACAAAGAATGCTCTTGCAAATGTCAGCCTGACGTTATCGCACTCAAACATACACGCACACAGCCCTACACATTCACACACAGATCTGTGCGTATTAGGACACTTGTCCTTTTACCTTACATGATAATTATTTGCGTGGACTATAGGCTCCTTTGGGATAGGAAAAATAAGGTGTAGCAAAAAGAAACAGAACTTGGAATCAAAAAGTCAGCCCCCTAGCTGGGCATGGTGGCTTGCACCTGTAATCCCAGTTACTCCTGAGGTTGAGGTGGGAGGATCGCTTGAACCTAGGTGTTCGAGAGCAGCCTGGGCAACATACCAAGACTCTGAGGCCCAGTCTTTAAAAAAAAATGAAAAAATAATTAGCCAGGTGTGGTGGCACATGCCTGTAGTTCTAGCTGAGGGTGGCAGAGGCAAAATGATTGCTGGAGCCAGGAGTTTGAGGCTGCAGTAAGCTGTGATCAGACCATGGCACTCCAGCCTGGGCGATAGAGCAAGACCTTGTCTCTAAAAAAAAAAAAGAAAAGTCTTCCCCTCAACTAAACCAGCTGTGTGGCTGAGAACAAGTTAATTTTCCTCTCTGAGCTTTGGTTTCCTCCTCCATAAAGGAGGATTACAATACAATGTGCCTTATTGTCTCCTTGTGTACATTATTAAAGTAAGATAATGGATACTCAGGAATTAGAGATTGCCAAATGCTTGATGTATGTATTACCCAGTTGCCCTTGTCTGTTTCCCAGAAGCATAGTGCCCTGCTGGGGGCGGGGCAGGGTGTGCACAGTTAAGATTTGTTAAACGAGTAGGCCATCATGCTGAATTCATTTGGTCTTCACAATTTCCTTATGAGATAAGCTTTGATATCCCCATTTCAAGATGAGCAAACTGAGGTTTGGAGTAGCCTCATTCATTCATTCATTCATTCATTCAAGGGACATCTGAATGAGCAACTCCCACATGTCCAACATTCAGACTCTGGGAATACTTGGATAGGGATACAAAGATGATTAAGACAAAAATCCCTGCACTCACAGTCCCGAGTGGAGGACAGACACATGAAGGAAAGTACCAATACAACACAAGGTGGATCATGAATTGTAGCTAACATTTAGTGGACACTTACTACGTGCCAGTCACTGCTTCAACTCTTTTTTTTTTTTTTTTTTGAGACAGAGTCTCATTCTGTTGCCCATGCTAGAGTGCCGTGGCATCAGCCTAGCTCACAGCAATCTCAGACTCCTGGGCTCAAGTGATCCTTCTGCCTCAGCCTCCCGAGTAGCTGGGACTACAGGCATGCGCAACCATGCCCGGCTAATTTTTTTCTGTATATATTTTTAGTTGTCCAGCTAGTTTCTTTCTATTTTCAGTAGAGACCGGGTCGTGCTCTTGCTCAAGCGAGTCTCGAACTCCTGAGCTCAAAGATCCTTCCGCCTCGGCCTCCCAGAGTGGCAGGATTACAGGCGTGAGCCACCGCACCCGTCCTGCTTCAGGTCTTTATGTGTTTTCCTCATTAAATTCTCCTCAAACTCTTACCAGCTAGGTTCCATTATTGCCCACCCTTCTCACAGATTCATGGGCAAGATTGAGGCATGATGATTGCCTAAGGCTTCGTAAGCAGCAAGTGACACAGCCCGGATTAACACCCAGTTGGTATAATGCCAGAAGTCCCACTTAACCATGAAGCTCTACCATCTCTGATTAACAAGTGGCACACAGGACATTGCCAGAGCCCTTAGGAGGGACCCCTAACTCAGCCAGGCGATCACAGTGGTCAGGAGAAATTTCCCGAAGGACCAGGAATTAGGTAGGTAGAGAAAGTCAGTGGGAAGGGCGGGGCCATTGCAGGAGAGGGCAAGGTGTGGAAGCCACCTACTGGAAGTCTACACAGCATCCAGTCCAGGCAAGGGCTGCAGCGTGTGAGGAGGCTGAAGAAGCAGGCAGCCCAGCCTAGAGAGGAGAGTGGTCCATACCCTAGAGGTAGCTGGAGGTTTGAAGGGTTTCAAGCAGAGGAGAGACTTGGCCAGACTTTTTTTAGGAAGATCACGGGGGAGCTGGGTGACGGTGGATGGGCAGGAAAGAGATAACCGCTAAAACAGTGAGGAGGAGAGAAGAGAAATTCAGAAAGTTGAGTTTTCCGGATCATGGTGATTTGGTGGTGGTTAGAGGACAGGAAGCAATGTTGGAGGACACTCAGCTTCGGCTCCTAATCCAGGGGGATGGGAGTGATCTGATGAGGCCAGTTTTGGATGTGAACCCAGGTCTTCTGGCGCCCAGTGGGTGCCCTTTCGCCTCCTGGAGCTGCCAGCTATGATGCCAGAGGATGTGCGCCCAGGGTCACTGGGGAACACAGCTCAGAACCTTCCACCCCGCCCCTCTGGCGGTGGCGGCGACGCGCAGTGCACCGTCTTGGGCGCTAGGGGGAGCTCCCGAACACGCTCGGGTCGCTCTGGCCCAGCCCGTCTCAGTGGCCGCGGAAGGTGACGTGGACACGGAAGTGGTCGTCGTCGCGGCGGCACCGGTGGGAGCGAGGCGCGGGGCTCCGAGTGCGGCCAGCGGGCAGACGGGCGGCGGCGGTCTCGCATCGGCGACGGTGGCGGGCGCAGGCACTGTCGGTTGGGTGGGAGTCCGCTGAACCGAAGAGCGGCTTTTTAGCTCCTTTTCCCTGCCCATCGGAACCCCGGAGCCGGGGCCCGCTCAGCCGGCGTCACCATGACCAAGGCCGGTAGCAAGGGCGGGAACCTCCGCGACAAGCTGGATGGCAACGAACTGGACCTGAGCCTCAGTGACTTGAATGAGGTCCCCGTCAAGGAGCTGGTCAGTACAGTCCCGCCAGGCCCGGGTGCCTACCTGCGCCTGGCCCTGGCCCCTACGTAGGCCACTTTTCCCAAGCATCAGTTTCTTCGTCTTTAAAACGAAGGAGGGTGGGGTGGACCTAAGTTTCCGGGGAGGCTGCGTCCAACCCCAGGATTCTTCCCGGGATGTACACGTGTCACTTTGGCGCAGTTCCAGAAGACAGGGAAGATCTGCTTGTCCGGCCCTGGCCTGTTTACAGGCCAAAAAACGAATCTGCCTCCGTTTTGGGGGCTTTCACAGCCCCCTGCTCCGTGCCTAACCCAGAGTAGGAGCCCAGGGAGCGGTTGCTGAATGTATAGGAGAATGAATGACTCGGTCCGGGAGTAGGCCTCCTGGTAGACCTGGGTGTGGCCCAGAATCGGGCTTTTCTAGGAAGCTGGCAGTCTCAGCTGGCAGCCCCAGCCCTGAGGCGGCCTTCCTTGGAGAGGCTAAAGTCTCCTGGCTTGGATGGCAAGGTCTGGTCCCAATTCCACGGAAACTGGCAGGAATCCCGCGGTGCTACTGATGCCCCCCCCATCCCAGTTAAACTGAGGCATGAGGCCCCAGGGAAATTACATGCCTAGTTTCTTGTCAACGTGGAGCTAGATCCCACAATCCTGCTTTTCCTACCATGTTCCCCAACTCACACACTATCCTTACTTTGGTTGATGCACACTTTGCTTATTGCCTTTGACAAATTACATTTGGTCTAGTCTTCCTGCACTGTGGATGTGTAGTAGGGTGGTTAGAATGGGGTTACGAGCTCCTCCCAGCTCTATTGCTTAATAGCTGAGTGCCCTTGGCAAGCTAGTTATCCTTTATTCTTAGATTTCCTAATTTATAAAACAGTCATAATAGTTTCCATATCTTAACACTTACTTGTGAGATTAAATAAAATTGTAACATAAAATGCTCGGAAGATAGCAAATGCTGATACATGTCGCTATTATCATGATGTTCTTTCCACTGCTGTATCCAAAACTTTTTTTAGGTGGTCAAAGTTCACTCTTAAGACTTTCTGACAAAGTGCCGATTGGCGTAGGATCCTTTCCTGAATGTTTGCCTCCTTTCCCAGCCCAGGAAGATGGCCAGCCCTGTTTCAGCCTGGCCCTAGGACTGGTGTCTGAAACCATTTACTCCAGGCATCTATCTGGTCAACACAGCATTGCCCCTAGGGAGAAAGAAGGGTCAGTTTTGCTGAGCCTCTCCAGGCCTGGACACCGTTAGAAAATAGACTTGGGCTGTGAGGGCCTCGTTTTCACTCTGGCAGTCACTCAATAATTCATTCATGATTCAGCCAACATGTATGCATATTGAGTGCCTGCTCTGAGAAAGGCCCTAAACTGGGGAATATGAAAATTGCAAAACTTTATTAAGACACAGTCCCCGCCCTGAATCTAATGGGGGTTGGGGGGAGAGTGGTGCTAGATAATATTTTGAAAGTGCTAGGAAAGAATTTCTAAAAATCTAAGTTTTCCTTTCTTGGATGCTTCACGGCCAGTCCCCTTGCATTCTTCCCTAGATCATGGTTGACTGAGTCACTTGTCCTCTCTTATCCTCAGGAACATTATACTCTGGTGCCATTTTTTACAGGCCTTTCCTAATCGTGGGAACTTTCTCTGGAAAATGCTTCATTAGCAGATGTCACTGAATTGTGCCAGGTTTAGTTTGACATGTTTTTCTCATCCCCTTTCCTAGGCTGCCCTTCCAAAGGCCACCATACTGGATCTGTCTTGCAATAAACTGAGTACTCTACCGGTAAGATTGGCAAGCAGCCATGACTCCTTCTGGAGCCCTGGATGCATCTCCTTCCTGTTTCAGGGGTGGGTGGGGGGTGGGTGGATGTCAAAGCATAATTTCAGGATAGGCCTACAGCAGGCTACAGCTAAATCTGAGTGTGTTGGGGGGGCGGGGTGGAGTGGGGTGGTTAGTCTCAGAGGGAAGGGACTCGAGCTAGAGGCCTCATTCTTTAGAGCAGTGGGAAAGTCAGGCCACAGAAAACTAAAATCAACAGGATGTTGGCTGAGTCAGTTACTAGGCTCATCTTTTTTCTGCCTTATTTTATTCCTCTGGAAAATAGTTTATCTCCCTATCGCATAGAGGAAGCTACAGACCATTTGATAAATTGCTTTGCATTTGAGGGAGAAAGCTGTGAACAGCTTCCTTGGGCATCTTTTGATGGGGAACAAGAAAGAATGTTATTTTAACGGGACTACCTTATCATCCTTCCAGACAAGGACTCGAATTACTAGAGATTTGCTTCTTTTGTTCAGCACATCCGATCTGTGGTCAGATCTTCTGGATTTTCTTGCACGTCTCTCCTAGTTCTCCTTTCGCACTGTATAGGCACTGGATTCATTCAGCCTCCCTGAGTAATGGCTGGTCTCTCCTCCATGGCCGTGCTTCTGCATGGTCAGGCTGAAGTTTGCTGTCATTGTTGCCTCTTCCACCCATCACTCTGGCCATGCCACTCCTTGCTGTACTCTATGGTAGAGGATTGGCTAAGAAGTGGGATTGAGCTCTGGCTCAGGGATCGAGTCCAGAAGTTGGCAGTTTCTTCATTGGATTATTGGTCCATTCCCCTTTCAGTATTCTCCTGGGAATACTATAGCATCTTCCCACAGCTCATCAAAAACCATTTCTAACATTCAAAAAGTATCTGACGTCCCACTTCTTCCAGGAAGTATTTTGTGTCTAATTAAACATAGGTAGCAATTCCTTGCAGCTGCACACCTGCTGTACACTTTGCTAGGAAGTCATTCAGCACACTCCAAGTGCACTTTTCAATCTGAGTTGGTTCTGCTGTGTGTACTGACAACTTTCATTTCACTCCGCAGTGCAGATCCACCAGCATTTACAAGTCCCCAGAGAGTATGAATAGTGCCTCATTAGCTGAGTTAGTGCCATCACTTTCAGATGGGCACTTAGCAAAGCTTTAATGTCAGGGGGATGCTTTGGCCTGTGCTGAAGAAGAGTCAGAATATGAGTAGGATGGGCCCAGCCCTCTCAGTTTTCCCAAGAACACTCACGGAGCACCTATGCTAAGTACTGTGTTAGATGCTGCAAATAACAAAAAAGAATAAGACTGAGTACTCAAAGAGTGCCTGATCTTTTTAGGAAAATAGATAGACACACTGTTTTGACAGATCCTATGGAAGGTGAGCATAGGGTGCCATGAGAGGACAGAATGGGTCCCTAACCACTCCAGGAACAGTGTGGAGGACAGGCTGGAGGGAGCGCTGAGGACGAAGGAATACTACGTATTTTGTGCCTACTCTGTGCTAAGCCCTTGTGTGTGCACATCTCGGTAATAAGCACCAGGAGTGGCAGGTGTTCTCTCCATTCTCATGTGAAGAGCTGGTAAAGGAAAAGTCAGGATTTATGTAGAGGAACCTCTGGACTTGGGGGCTTCCAAACTGTTACACCAAAATGTGAGAGCCCAAGGCTTAAGTGTTCTCTCTTTGGGTCCTAGTCGGATTTCTGTGGCCTCACACACCTGGTGAAGCTAGACCTGAGTAAGAACAAGCTGCAGCAGCTGCCAGCAGACTTTGGCCGTCTGGTCAACCTCCAGCATCTGGATCTCCTCAACAACAGGCTGGTCACCCTACCGGTCAGCTTTGCTCAGCTCAAGGTAACAATTCATAAACCAGTGTTTCATGGCCAGGTGTGGCAAAGGGCTTGGGGACCGATGGAGCATGGCCATGAGAAAGGCTGACAGGAATATCCCCTGGTTGGTCCTGCCTCAGATGGCTTTCCCTGTAGGTGGAACACAGAGGAGCTTTTTTCTTGCTCGTTTTGTTCCACCTTGAGGGACTGTATATGTGAGCTCGGGCTTAGCCAGCCTCTTTGCCCATCTCTTTAGAACCTGAAGTGGCTAGACCTGAAGGATAACCCCCTGGATCCTGTCCTGGCCAAGGTGGCAGGCGACTGCTTGGATGAGAAGCAGTGTAAGCAGTGTGCAAACAAGGTAAGCACCACACTCCCGGTGTCTCCTCACACTCCTCCAGGACTTGCCTTTCCTTGTTTTTGCCTCCCAGGGCACCTGTAGCTGTGTGTTCATTAAAGCACTAAGGTCTCGGTGAGATATATCCACTGTGAGCCTGTCAAGCAGAGACCTTTGTTTGTACACTTACTTTGCAAGTAGCAGAACAAGACTGTCTTCTGCTCTACTGCAGTACTTCCTTTTTTAGGAAACCAGGAGCAAAAAAAGCCAGACGCAGTGGTACATGCCTGTAGTCCCAGCTACTACTTGGGAGGCTGAGGTAGGAGGATCACTTGAGCTCAAGTGTGTAAGGCCAGCCTTGACAATACAGGGAGACCCCTGTCTCTTAAAAAAAAAAAAAAAAGAAAAAGAAAGAAACCGAGACCGTGCATGATCCAACATTGCACTGTGTTGATTCTTTGTTTGTTTTTTTTTTTTTTTTTTGAGACAGAGTCTCGCTCTTTTGCCCGGGCTAGAGTGTCATGGCATCAGCCTAGCTCACAGCCACCTCAAACTCCTGGGCTCAAGCGATCCTCCTGCCTCAGCCTGCCAAGTAGCTGGGACTACAGGCATGCGCCACCATGCCCGGCTAATTTTTCCTACATATTTTTAGTTGTTCAGCTAATGTATTTCTATTTTTAGTAGAGATGGGGGTCTCACTCTTGCTCAGGCTGGTCTCAAACTCCTGAGCTCAAAAGATCCTCCTACCTCGGCCTCCCAGTGTGCTAGGATTACAGGTGTGAGCCTCCGTACCCGGCTGACAGTTGTTTTAATGGCACAAGAGTGTTAGGGGCTGTGGCCTTTCTTGAGGCAGTTAATGTAAGAATTTTGATAATAATGGAGTTAATATATATAAGTTTTCAACAGACACATCCTGGGCAGACCTGGCATTTGATTATAATTGAGTCATCTGACGTTGGCGTGAGGAACGAAAGGCAGCATACAAGGCCGACATTGCCAGTGGCCAGTAACCTTGAAGATACCTTACCCTGCTCATTAAGATTAGCACTGTACCGATCTCTCAGTGACACCAACTATAGTCATTTTTCCTTCTAGCTTTGGAACAGATTGCTGCTGCTTCAGCTGAGCACCAGATGACTTAACTTGGCTATGTTTAGGGGGCATGTTGAACAAAAAAGACTTAACTTTAAATAATAGAATTAATGTAAGTTTAATGTGTGTATGAACAGTCTCCACTGTGAATCTCAAAAGTAATAGCCTTTTTTTCTTATCATGAGCTCAGAGCTTCTCATATAATCTCATCATCTGTATCACCCATTGTTACAAGAAATCAAGTACAAAGTTAATACAACCAAGTAGCTAATAAGACAACAGGTTTCCATTAGATGAGAATAGTACAAGTGATCAGTGAAATCCTGTTTGGGGCAGGGTGCAGTGGCTCATGCCTGTGATCTTAGCACCCTGGGAGGCTGAGGTGGGAATATAGCTTGAGGCCAGGAGTTAGGGACCAGCCTGAGCAAGAGTGAGACCCTGTCTCTACAAAAAATTGAAAAATTAGCTGGGCATGGTGGCAGGTGTCCGTAGTCCTAGCTACTCAGGAGGCTGAGGCAGGACGATCACTTGAGCCCAGGAGTTCCAGGCTACAGTGAGCTGTGATGAGGCCACTGTACTCTAGCCAACAAAAAAACAACAAAAAAACCTTGGTGCTTCTGGAATGATGTCTTTTCTGAAGACTAACAGTAGCTACCACTGATTACGCTTCCTTTGTCCTAGCTGTTTCACGTCTGTCATGTCATCATCCTCAGAACCCTGAGAAGTAGGTATTTCATTTCTCTGATACAAGAACCCCTCAGCATGTACACACCTTTCATTAATCCATTTATTTATTTAGTAGATAATATGTGGAACCATATGAAATTGATGATATCCCACCGTTTTCGACAAACGAAAATAATTTTTGAGTGCAAAGGCCTTTTGTATTTGCATATACCTTCCATACAGAGCTCCAGGCGGCATAGTGTGGATGTGGTCACTAAAGCCATGGTCTGTGGCACTGCTGCCTCAGAGCTACAGCACACCTTTGGGCTTTGTAGGGAAGGGGCTTGGGCCAGTCAGAATGAGGTCACTTGTCTCCTGGAATTAGTTTAGGCCGTGCCAGCTCTGACCTGGTGTGTGGGTTATGGGTTAGTCATCAGCTTAGTACAGATTAAAGCACCTTTTAAAACTAATTTGTTCAACAGTACTGATCAAGTGCTTACTGTGTGCTGTGAACTAGGGTAGGTAGATAAAATCTACCCTCCAGGAGCTCACAGTCTAGAGTAGGAGAGTCTCTCCCATTTCTGAACTGCCTGTGTTTTCAGATAATGACTCCTGATGGTAGCACTTGTAGCCAAGGTAAAAAGGGATGTCTCTTAGCCAGCCGTATACTCCTAAAACCAACTAAATGGTTAATGCTTGTTTAATATTCAGAGTTCAGAGTGAGACAGGGACTTTGAGCTTGGGCTGCCTTTCACCGTCATACTTAACCTTCCTCCAGATCCTGCAACCCCTTGTTGAGTAGCCATTTTTGTTAGCTTGACTCCATAGGGAGAAGTACCAGCAGGTTCACACCTTGGGTTACTCGGGACAGGGTTCCTGGTGGCTTCAGACCAGGCTCTTGAAGGGAGATCCTTTTGCAGGCCTCTTATGATGGCTGTTTGTGGTCTGAGGTTTCCAAGAAATAAAAAGAATTGTGTTTGAATACACATGTCTGTCCTGCAGGTGGTTTAGTTTTTAGTGCAGTAGTGAAACAAGACCCTTTTGCTATCTTAGACTAGTTCAGATTTTCTTCTTTTTTCTTACTTGTGGTAAAGAAAATAAGCAGCAGTATTTCTTGAGCGCATATAATGCCTGGGATTCTGCTAGGCACCCAGTACGAGTTATCTTATTTAATCTTCACAGCAGGCCAGAGAAGGGTATCTTATATCCATTTTCTGGATGAGAAAATTGGCTCAGAAAGGTTAAGTCACTCGCCAAGGTCACATAGTAAGTGGTAGTCAGGATTGCAGTGGGCTCCAAGCTTATACTCTGTCCCCTTCATCCAAGGAAGACCAGCTTCAGAAAAATACAGAAAAGATTGTTTGTGTCCTCCCACAACCGTGTCCATAGTGAGAATCTTTGCAGCATTAGTCAGAGGTTATCCATGAGTGAGCTGATGAGGATTAGGGAGCTCAGGGTGCCAAATAGAAGGGTGTCATGATTGGGCCTTTCCCTTAGATCTCTCCTACTCTGTGCATTTGGTGGGAGTGAGTACAAGCTCTGCTCTAGGAACCTGCACCCAGGTCTTAGCTGTGCTACTTTCTAGCCATGCGCAGTGGACAAATCACCCCATCCATCTTGGTTTTCTTCCTTTCAAAATGAGAATCCAGTCATTCATCATACATGTATTGAATGCCTACGATTAGCTGAGATCTGGGCTAGCCACGCCCACCTGGGGTACCTACAGATAGGACAACAGTTCATCCCTTAAGGAGCTTGCAGTCTAATGCTTGAGACACATGGGGAGCAAGTTAATTGCAGTATCCCGTATGAATTCCATAGGGGTGGGGTGGGGGGACCTAAAGTAGCCAAAGGAGGGGAGGTCAGGAAGTGTGTTGGAGGAAATGCCAATCCCAAGTTGTTGCTGGGAGGATTCTATGAAATCAAGCATGTGAGAATGATTGTAAATGGAAGAACTTTTTACAGATTCAAGTTGGCATCACATGTCACAAATTTTTTTTCTGACAACTTTAATGAACTGGGCTCATGTGATTCTTCTCCAGTTAAGGCTGGCACAGTAACTTATGATACAAAGAGAGGATCAACTCTATTAGTTCTGCATTGCCGCCAGGGGCCCGTGGTAATCTAGGATCCTGAAAATAGTCTCTTTTTTGAGACTGCTGAGCAGATGTGAGCTGCGAAGATGACTACTTTGAGTAGTTCAGAGCCCTCCTCTCCCTTTGCAGGTGTTACAGCACATGAAGGCCGTGCAGGCGGATCAGGAGCGAGAGAGGCAGCGGCGGCTGGAAGTGGAACGAGGTGGGTGGCCATCCCTCTTCCGGTTGTCTTCCAGGTCCTTATCCCACCCAGCAGATTCTCGGGCTTCGGGAGCTGGGATCCAGTGAAGAGTCATGAAAAGCAGTTGGGGGGAGAGGGGGACAGCGTGGTGGTAGATGGCATCCTCTTTATCCGACGAATCTCTCTCCAGTCCTGCCTTCCCTGCTGAGCTCCAGCGTCACGGTCAGCTGCATGTGTTTGTCTCTGCTTGGAGGGCTAATAAGCATCTCACATTGAATGTGGCTAAAACAGACTCCTGATCCCCTTCAGTCCATCCCAAGCCTGAAATAGGAAGTCATTTCAAGCCTGAAATAGGAAAGATGACCATGATTCCTTTCTTTTGTAATTCCCACATCTAATCTGTCAGCAAGTCTTGTATGGGACCATTTCTGCACCTCCAGTGCCACGTCGGTAACCAGCCTGTCCCGCTGAGGACTACCAGAGTGCCTCCTGACATGTCTCCACGATTGCACCATCGCCATAAACCCATTCTCTACACAGCAGCCTGGAGATCTCTGTAAAACATAAATCAGTTATACTTATTGCTTAAAACCCTCTATTGGTGTCCCATTTAACTTAGCATGAAATCCAAGCTCAGTGACATGGCCAACAAGACCCACCTTGGCCCAAGCCTCACCTACTCTCCGGCCTTGCTTCACACACAAGGGAGAACATGCCATTAACTTCAGCCCCATGAGCCTCTGCTGCTGCTTGAACACACCAATGCTAATCTCACTTCAGGGGTTCTGCCTGGTTTCCTCTTCCTCCAGTCTCTACATGTCTGGCTTCCTATAATCCCTCTTGTCTCTGCTAAAATGTTGCCTTGGGTTAACCTTAACCCTTACAGAACCACCCAGACTAGAATGGCCATCCTACCTGTCACTCTCCATCATACCCTCTGCTGTTTTCTTTATAGCACAGATCACTGTCGTCTTTATTTTGTGTTCATTTGTTTATTGTCTGTCTCCCTCACTAGTAAATAACGTAGGCACTAGAATCTGACCTGTCTTCTCCACTGCTGCATCTTGAGCACTTAGAACAACTCCTGGCCTGGCACGGTGGCTCACACCTACAATCCCAGCACTTTCGTAGGCCGAGGTGGGAAGATCTTGTGAAACCAGGAGTTTGAGACCAGGCTGGGCAATGTGATGAGACCGTGTCTGTACAAGAGAAAAAAAGAGCAACTCCTAGCACGTAGTAGGGGCTCTGTTGACTGGCTGGCTGATTTCTGAGCCCCCTTAGTGGAGGACTGCTATGGTTGGAGAAGGGATAGATGTGTACAGTACTGATTACAGGCAATCCCTGGGATCAAGATGCCGAGTTACAGCTGTCTTTTATTGTGCATGGCCACGGTGGCAAGACATGCCCATATTTACTCTGACCCCTGCTGCTTTCACTTCTTGACAGCACATGTTCCCTAGAGGCTGGGTGTAGTGTGTTCTTGGCATTCTCAGTGCCCAGCTGGAACTTGGAGCTTGTTTATACGTAGAGAAGCAGTGGAAAGCTACAGTACTTACAGTACTACTATTCAGCTATATTATGGCTCACATAGGCTTTTAAGCCCTAAAAGGACATTTAACTGCCATTTGTGGCATTCTGGCTTTGGAAAAATGTATTTCAGATTTCCAAATAACTAATTTGGAAGTCCATTTTTAGAACCCAATAATTTGGAAGTTGTAATTTGGAAGTTTGTAAACATACTTGGGCTGTTAAGTAAATCTGAATGTGTTCTTGAGTTCAAGTCTCAGATTCCTGAGTTCAAGTCTAGAGATTACTCTGATGGACTATTAGTCTCATGTTTTTAGAACAACATTGCCATTGTCTCTAACCCTAAACTTGAGTGCTCATTCACTCTTCTCACTTGGCCTTCCTTAAGCCATATTCATTTCTGAAGCTTGGGAAGATAGGAATCCCATAGACTCAGCACTGCCATGGTTTCTTCTCTTCACAGCTGAGTTCTAGAAGGCCGTCACTTGCTGTGCCTTCTGAATTCGTACCTAATTCTAGAGGAACACCATATATCACTCATGCCTTTCGTAGGTTCTCCCTTGTTATTGTACCCTAATCTCTGCTGCCTGGGGCCAGGAACCCCTCAGTAAGAATACACTCAGCAAACCTTGAGAGCAGCTTATTATATTTTAGGGAGGGCTACTTCCTGGAAAGCAGAAAGGTGGCTATTTCCTTTGACTATTTCTTATGTGACCCATGGCACAAGGGAAAAGGCATCTGAACCCATACTTTTAATCACTTGGGAAAGCAAACTGCTGGAGGGTTTGAGGGAGAGAAGTCACGTTTTGGCATATTTTGTTGTAGAGGCAGAAAAGAAGCGTGAGGCCAAGCAGCGAGCTAAGGAAGCTCAGGAACGGGAACTGAGGAAGCGGGAGAAGGCAGAAGAGAAGGAGCGTCGGAGAAAGGAGTATGATGCCCTCAAAGCAGCCAAGCGGGAGCAGGAGAAGAAACCTAAGAAGGAAACAAATCAGGCCCCGAGTAAGTTTTCTTTCTTTGTAAGTTTCCAGCAGGGGTGCAGTGGAGAGACCCACTTGTTTTCAGGCCTAAAGGAGTGAGGAGCGAGCCTGCAAACCTTAGTCAGATAAAGCCTGGGAGTAGCATGGGAAAGTGTGAAGGAAACGAGGCCCTGAGGGTTTGGTTACAGGGAATGGGGGCTCTCCTGGGGAGGTAGTGCCCAGCTGGCTTGTTTCTCCAATGCCCACATATTTCTGTGCAGGTCAAGCGTGTCTTGGAGCATTCCCAGAACAGGGAGTCTCAACCGGGGTGAGGTTCTAAAGTCACTAAGATAGGTGAAGATCACACACGGTCAAGTTACTTCTAAAAGTCCCTCATAGAACAGTGCATTGGCATGTGCCTGTAGTTCCAGCTACTTGGGAGGCTGAGGCGGGAGGATGGCTTGAACCCAGGAGTTCGAGACCAGCCTGGGCAATGTAGTGAGACCCTGTCTCTTAAAAAAAAAAAAGTCCCTCATATCATTTCTGAAGTATACTGGGTATGTTTTGAGTATATGGTATAGTCTCTCTGTAAAACCAGTAATGCCTGTGTTTTTTCCCCCAAGTCAAAACAGGTCACTCCCTCTGCTTGAACACCAGAGGAATCATTTGGCCTGCATTCAGGGAGCCACAATGTATAGAAAAACCCATTTTTGTGTTTTGCTTGAATGTGTCCAGTTGAATTTATGTAGTGATGCGGCTAAATACTAGGGAGGGTTGTATACCCTCTGGGTCAGAAGGGACCCCCTGAGGGAGAATCATGTGAGGGTTAGGAGCTCTGTATAGATGGTGGAACCTGTGTCCCTGTCCCCGCTCACCCTTGCCTTGAGCAAGTTGCTTGATCTCACTTTTTTATTTCCTTGTTGAAAATGAGGATCATACTTACAGGGTAGTGATAGGGTTAAATGAGCAAACAGGATCATGCAGTTCCTGGCATCGTGGATGCTCAGTCAAGTTTTTAAAAATTTTGCCTAAAAATCTCAAAACCAATTTTTTTCTAATTAAAAATGTAATATGTGTTCATTGCATAGAATTTAGAAAAGATATATCATAAAATGGCAATCGCCTGTAATCCCCATTCCTAGCAATAATCACTGTTTACAGTATGTTGTATTACCGTCCAGGGTTTCTTTTTATATACGTATTACATAATAGTGGCATTAATGATAAATCTCCGTTTCCCCAGTGCAGCACTCTATCCCTGCTTGATGCCTCCTGATAAGCCCCTCCCCACACAGTCCCAAGAGGCCTGAGTCATCACCATGTTACCAAGGAGAACTTAGGATGCTGGGGACTGTGAGCTACCTGAGACTTGCAGAATGAGTCCCAGTTTCGAATGTACTCCCTTGAGATTCAAGGGAAAAGGTGTTTCTGTTCCAGTCTCTGGATAGCAAAGGTTTTAAGGACTCAGATATTCTTAAAACATTTTTCTCTTCAAGATCTGGGGAGTCTTGGCTTGAGGAGGGGATGTAAGTGGATGTACATGGAGGGCACGAGTGTAGATTGGTAGAGTGGATCTCCTCAAACTAACCCAATTTGTTTTGTCTACTGTGAATCTTGTCCCTCCAGAATCTAAGTCTGGCTCCCGCCCCCGCAAGCCACCACCCCGGAAACACGCTCGATCCTGGGCTGTGCTGAAGCTGCTGCTGCCGCTGTTGCTGTTATGTGTGGCAGGTGGGCTGGTTGCTTGTCGGGTGACGGAGCTGCAGCAGCAGCCCCTCTGCACCAGCGTGAACACCATCTATGACAACGCCGTCCAGGGTCTGCGCCGCCATGAGATCTTCCAGTGGGTCCTCCAGACCGACTCTCAGCAGTGAGCTCCTCCTCAGTACCTGCTGCCTCCCAGCCTTGGAGCTTGGATTCCTATGGAATTGGGTTCTGCTGGACACACCTCTTTTTAGCATCAGACCTACCTGCCATCATCAAATGGCTGCTGATTGGTACTTGAGACCTCCTCTTCGTAGGACTTCTTTGTTCCTTAGTCAGGGTTCCCTGGTGGAATGAGGAGAAATGGGAGGTGGGGGGGAACAGTTACCTGCATGCCTAAAGGAATAGGCTTGGGGATGGGGAGAGAGAAAACATAGCCTTTTCTAGTTGTTATAAAAGCTGTGTAAAGGCAAGGCTCGTTTCTACTAAATGGTCAGCTGTCACTACATTTATACTTTTGTATGTCACAAACCCTTTCTTTCATTCCTCCCTGAGTAACCAGGGCAGATCAGGAGGAAGTGTTACTGGGGACTGGGGGAACACCACACTCAGCAAATCCAGCCTAAATTGGGGAGAGGGTGTACCTATTTTCTGAAGGACTTCAGAAACTTAAGCATTTTAGGGACCATAGAAATTCTCTGGCTGTGAAAGGGACTTCACGACCATCCAGTCCAATATAACATCTGCAGACAGAAAAAGGTAGGCCTTCCATGACTTGCCTACAGTCTCCCAGCTAGTTTCGGGCAGAACTAGATCCCGCTCTGGTATTCTTTCTTTCCTTTACATCATTATGCCACCTTTATAATGTCCTGAGAGAACAGAACACACACCAGAATTGAATATGTCTCAGCCAAAGTATAGAATCTTTCATGGTAGACAGACTCAAGACTCACAAGTAGAAATCTGTGCCGACAGGGTAAGGCAGCTGCTATGGAGTCCTGCCTCAACTTATGTGGCTTCCATAAAATGGCAGCAGTCCAGGCACCTTGCCTCAAGTTTAGAGCATTAATCCCTTATTGCCAGTAGGCAGGGAGGTGGATCTGTGCAAAGCCACATTGTCTGACAGCTCCATTAGTACTTGGTGTGACTAAATACCTCAAAGGCATCCTGCTTTTGCAGGTTTGAAGTATCAGCTGGTTGCTTCATGGACACTGAGGCTCAGAATTGTTTGATTCTAGACTCTAACTGAGGGAATGAAGGGAGACAAGTAGTATCATGGAGCCTAAAAGCGGTGCAGCACTGGCCATCCTCCTGTCTGCTAGATTAAGCATTTCCTTGCTTCCTTTTCCTCATCTTTTGACAACAGCTGGATGGACGGATCAGACATGACCGTGTCTTGGTGCTCATTCACTGAAAACTCCCAGTTGCAAGCTCCTTGCCTCTTCCAGGAAGGAGCAAGAACTTGTCATAGTTCAGAGACAGAGAGGGCAGGGTCCAGCCTTTTAGCCTAGTGGCCCCTTTGGCTAGGACTGCCACTCATGACTGTCCTGATACTGGAAGAAAGGACTTTGTTAATCTTCTCCCCCAAGGATAGTTCTGCTGCCTATGTCCATACCTTACTCAGAATCACTATACATTCCTTTAGTCTTCCTCCAAGCTCCAGAGCCATTGATATAAATGCTTTATTGAAACTAAATACATAAGATGAGATTAAGACAACATAGAAGTCAGCATAGTCATCGTACCCTGCTCCTTGGCTGGTTGAGGCATCTCAGTGGCTGAGCCTAGTCACAACGCCAACCCACAGGCGATAGTTCACTCATGACTTCGAGATTTGATGATGATTCTTTTGGATTTCTACAATTAAACATATGTCTGAGTGGTCTGTCTTTGTTCCTTTGTGTTTTGAGGGCTGGCTGGGACAGGGGTAATGTGGTTTGTCCATCACAACTGATTTTTTCTAGGAGAGGCACATTACATGCTGTAGATTTAAGTACCTTAGTCTTCTCCCCAAGTTGACAGGGAAGGAAACTTTGACAAGTAATGAAACCCAGGAAAGACTAGGGGCCTCACCCAGGCTTGTGCTCCAGGAGGCACTGCCAGTCTCCCTTGCTGCAGTCCGGCTCTGAGGTTGAGGAGGTGGAAATCTCCAGCTTTTTAACCTTGTCCCTGAGTCCTAACATCCATCAGCACTGTCTAAAGAGAGATCTGGTTGTAAAGTGGTCATTTGAAGGTAGATACGCCTGGACAGCTCTGGTCCTACACGGCGGGAGGTAGACGTCACACCTTCCCCACGGCGCACTTGTATGTTTGCAAGCAAATTCTGGCGTTCTTGCTCCGAAAAACACCGCTGATAAGCCTGAAAGGGGTAAATGACCTCTTAATACGGTACCATCCATGTTCATCCCTCGTCTGTGAGCAAGGAGGGTGCTAAGCCTGGTTTGGGGGATGAGAACCTGTCCTCTCTCCCTGGGCCAGCGTTAACTCTGATCTCAGCAGATCTGCACTGCTGACCTATAAAACCTTGGGCCTTCAATAGTGCTGTCTGGAAATCATCTGGGGTCCTGCTGAGACCACAGGGTGCTGGGCAGTGACCCTGGAGCAGCATACCTGTACCAGGAGTTGCGGGGAGGGATAGACATCCACGACGGCACTGGCCATGTCCAGGCTGACTCGGTTTAGCTGCTGAATCTGTCTCCTCCAGACCAGCGCAAGTCCCCTGCCAGCACGGTCCACCTTCACTCCTCCAGCCCAGTCACTCTCCACGCAGAAGGAGAAGCTAGTTTGATCTCGGAGCTTCCTGCAGATGGCACAGTTGGAGAGCTGGGAGTTACCTGTTGCTCTCCTATACCTCTCCCTCAACTGGGAACTGAAAAACCCTCCTGGACGTGATATGTGTGGCCTATTTAAGCCTTCCACAATTCGAGTGTTCACTTTGTTCCCAAGCATAGTGCTAGTTAGTGATTCCCTTAAAAACTGCATCTAGTTCTTTGCATTAGAAGAGGGGGTACCAGATTCTTTTGCTATGTTGAGAAGAGGCTGTGTTGCCCAGGGAGGCAGTGTGCACAGGGGCAAGCACAAAGGACTGGATATCTGGCAACCTGGAGTCTATTTCTGGTTCTTCTAACTTGCTAGGAGCCTAGACAAGTCAATCTCTTCAGGCCTTCATCCCCTCAAGTATAAAATAAGGGACTTGGACTGGATTGTCCTTTGTTAATTTTAAATTCTGTTAATTTAAAATTTAACAAATTTAATTTAAAATTCTCTGAAGTCCTTTGTTAATTTTAAATTCTGACCATGAACACTCGAACTAAGTAGGCTAAAAATTTCCTTTACTAGGGCTTATTACATTATGATTTGACCTGTCATGAATCCTAGGAACTTGGCTTATTGGTAACCCGGTATCAAACTGCAGAACACACAGTTTCACATAAGCTAAAGGAGAATATTTTAAAAGGGACTGGGCCTGGGGCTCTTCCCAAAAATCTGCAGCATGAGGTCAGCTCCTGCCTCAAGCTTGAGAAGCAATGGGCTGACTGCAAAGATGAGGGGGGACGTTTTCTTTGGCTGTTGAGAACCACTGAAAAGGACGAGGCCCAGCATGGAGGCTGGACTTGCTAGGGGCACTCACTTGAAGGGTGCCTCTGCCACAGCCTTTGTGAATGAGCATGCGAAGTCAGCCAGTTCCTTCCAGCTCTGCACAATTCGAGCCTGGGCTTCCGTGTGTAGCTGCAGATCCACCAATGCCTAGAAACCCAAATGCAATGATGGACTGTAAGGGTAGAGAGAGACCAGTTGGAAGTGCTTTCACTGTTCACTGAAGCCACACCCCAGCCCCTTGGCTCCCTGTTTGGCCCCTTCTCTCCTACTTGGTGCCAATGCAGAAAGCAGCGCGCAGTGGGCATTTTATTCTCTATCAATAGCAAATCTGGTTAGATGACCAGTGGGTACCCAGCCTGACTCAGACAACAGGAAGTTCTTACCTCTTCCATGTCTACCCTGGACACCATGGACCCCAAGGTGGCCTCTGGTTGTCTCTGTTGCTGCTTCTCCTTGGCCTGTTTATTTGCTACTCCCTGTTTCTTTCTCCTTGGGGGATTCTGAGCACTGGAGCAGGGGAGGAAATGAAAGGACAGCAGCTCCAGGCTGAGCTCAGGCTGAAGAGGCGCAAGAAGACTGGACCAGCGCATCCCACAGAGCTCAACAGAGGTGCTACCTTGCAGAGTGACCCACATCTGGGATGAACAAACTCAATTCAGTTGGCCAGAGAGCTGCCCCTTCTAACACTAAATCCCCAGGGCAAATCCAAACCTGAAGCATTTCTCCTGATCCACAATCACCAGTGACAGAGCTTTCCCAGCTGTCCTTGCTGTGATGTCAGTTACAAAGCCCCAAAGTGTTTCCTTCCCTCTCTCAGTGTTGCCCAGACTTCCCTGCATGAGGAAGCAGAAACTGCATTAATACTTGCTCCCTAGCGAGAGTCGGCCCTCTGTTCCATGCCTCAGCCCCCACCCCTCTGGCTCTGCCCACCTGTTTTAGGTTGTAGATCATGGATACAAACGCCTCTGCCAGAAGGAACACCAGGACCGTTGGCTCCTCCACCCAGTCCTCACCGTCCTGCCAAAGGGCCGGGAACACAGCACAGGGAGGGAGGTCAGCAGGTGGTGAGCACCTGTGAGTGTGGCCCAGGTCTTCTGGGTGAATGAACTCGCTCCCACCCCTTGTGCATTATCCTTTTTCTTCTTGAATGAAGTCATAGTGACGAGAAACAACCACCCATGATCCTGTCCCTTCCCAGTCCTCAGTTGTTTAACCTCGTGCCCTGCATCTCATGGATGGTGAATAAGAAGGAACATGAGCAAGTTGAAAGGGACTGAGAAGTAACTGCCAATTTTTTCTATGCATTTTGAATAGGGGAGTGGAGGGACAGGAGACTCCTCCAAAGGACTTAGTCCAAATAAATGACTCTGGCTTTGAAGGTAGATGCTGTGAGCTGAGAGTGCCCCTTCCTAACATATAGGTTTTGTGTGGCAAAGATAAGAATCAAAAGGGAAACTTCGGTCTGTGTGAGCACTCCTCTTCATCATAGCTGGGGCATTATCAAACAAAGCCAAGGCTGCCTCAAGGCCAAGACTCCTACAGCACTATGGTATCATGGAGTAACTGGGGAGCAGGACTTTCACAGAAAGTTTTCTGATTGGGTCCCTATATGCAAAAGCAAGACCCATGCTATAGCAAAGCACGGGTGGGAGGAGCTCTGAGTTCTAGTTCTGGCTGTGATCCTTAACAAGGCTTTTAACTTCGCTAACTTTGCCACACCTGTGATGTGGGGAGAATTTCACCTTACAGGATTAGTGCGACTGACACAAACAGAATGTGGCAGTGCCTTGCTGTGTGAATATAAAAGTTTGCCAATATCTCTGAAATAAAAAGTGTGGGTAAATGTCCCAAATTACTGAGAAAGTTATGAGATCTGAAAAAGAGAGGAAAAAAATCTTAATGTATCATCTATAAACTCTAGAAAATGAGGGGTGGAGTATTTTGGGTTTACAGAAAAGTGATAGGTATAGGAACTGTGTAATCTGGGAGCCTAGGTAGGGAAAGGACATTGACTGTGTGCCTGCTGTGTGCTGGTGCTGGGCTCTCATTTGGTCCCCACAATAAGAATTTTATACATGAGGCAACCGAAGCACAGAGATTTGTAATAACTGGCCCAGGGTCACAGCAACAGAGCCACGGAGCTGGGATTCAAACACAAGCCTCCCATTCCCAAAGCCCAGCTAGAGAACTAGGAATCCTGTGCGGATTATCTCCCCTCTGCCCACTCTGCTCTCTGCCTGAGGAGGTGATCTCTACGGACATCACAAGGTCTGTATGTCCTCTGGCTCCCAGCTGCGTGTGACCAGTGGGAAACCTCAGTAGGGGATTGGAGGGAAGGAGAGTGAAGTCAGGGTATCTTTTCCCCTGGTTCCCTCCCAGTGGGGTCACCTAGGGTTTACTGCACCCCTCTGTTGGAGGTCAAGTCTTCTCTCAAGGTGGCCCTGTCTGTATTTCTGCCTCCTCCGGGACTCTGCTAACCACTCCTTCCCTTCATCCCTTCAGGCAAAGGGATGGTAACAGTTATGTCAGTGGTTCTCAATCAGGGGCAATTTTTCCCCACAAAGGACATCTGGCAATGTATGGAGACATTTTTGATCGTCACGACCAAGAGGGGTGCTATTGCCATCCAGCAGGTACAGGCCAGGGATGCTGTTGTGAGTTGTTGATATTGTGATATTGTGAATCACATTATCACGTTGATATTGTGCATCACAGGACAGCCCCCAAAACAAAGAATTAAAATGTCAACAGTACTGAGGTCAAGAAACCCTGAATTATGCTGTTATTACTGTGAGGTACTGGGCTGTCCCTTATAGTTTCCTTGTACCCTGCCCATAACTTGGAAAAACAGTCCCTTTATTAAATCTTCCTCAAATTATCCTAAGTGGAACGTGCCATCTGTTTTTCTGCTGGGGCCCTGACTGATATATATCCTTTCAAAAAAAGCATATTTATCCTGTAAGTCTAAGGGGAGGAGAGATGTCAGCCAGAAACCCCCTACCTCAGATGGCCCAGTCCTTCTCCTCCAAGTGATACTGCAAGGCACGGCCTGCGCCTCAATCACACAGCAGCACCCCATGGACTGCAACGCTCCGAGGAGCTGGCCCCCACCTTCCATCTGTAAAAGCACTGCAACAGATGGGAAAGGGACTGTCAGTGGGTGGTCCAGAAAGCAGATCGCTCAGCAAAGGGTGAAGACAGATGCTAGGAGGACCTGGATCCAGCACCACAGCGATGTGTTTCAAGCATTCCTCTGGCCTCTGGGATTTCAGCCTGTTAGCCAGTGCTGCCGCCTCCTTTCTTTCCTGTTGTCTCAGGGTGCTTTCCTTCTGGCTTGCTTGTCCCTGCTGCCGGCATCCCTGTGAGCCTCTTCCCTGGACCTTCTGACTACGCTTGGTTTTCTTCTGAGGTGGGACGATGTCAGAATTTGTTTTGGCTACTGTCAAGCTGTTGCTCCGGACAGGGCAGGTAGACCGGTAGGCTGGAAGCTGATGGCATTGTAGGCTGGAAGCTGACAGATTGTCTAAGATAGGGTCCTTTTTATCTGATGCACTCTTCTCTGAGGTATCATGGAGGGGAGCATCAGGGATCTTTGGAAAGGACTGCTTTTTACAGTCACTTGATGCTCCTTCATTATTTTGATGACCCAAAACACTTTTAACTGTGGAGCTAGAGTCCTCAGGGCTCAGCTGCTTGTGGGTCAAAAACTTACATGCAAGCCTCTCAGCCAGGGGAAGAAGTTCCACTTCATCCTCACTTTCACTGCTTAGCACCCTGACTGGCTCTGTTTGTGTGACAGTTTCAGCTGTGTCTGGGACAAGCAGTGAATCTTTCAACCCTGGTGATAGAGGACAGGAGGCCACAGAATCTGAGGTGTCAACCACTACAATCTTCTCCTCCCTCTGAGGCTGCCTCCTGTTTGTTGAAGATGGTTCCTTCTTCAGAAAGGCAAATGTTGGCAACTCCTCAGAGTCACTCTCACTGGAATCCAGTGAGAATGATGACTTCTTTAGAGCCATCAATATGTGCTATCAAATTAATTCCCTGAAAGGAAAAGAGAGATGAGACACAGACTGGAGCATTCAATTCAGTCCACTAGATGTATTCTATAGCCAAGCTTTATGAAGATAAATAGGAGATACAGAGAAAAGAGAAATAGGACATGGCCCGAACACATTTGATCTGTCATCTAACTGGAATCCTCCCCAAATCCGTCTAAGTCAAGGTGAGGTATTAACAAAGTAGAGTCACTATTACAAATTTTTTTTTTTTTTTTTTTGAGACAGAGTCTGGCTCTGTTGCCCGGGCTAGAGTGCCGTGGCGTCAGTCTAGCTCACAGCAACCTCAAATTCCTGGGCTCAAGCAATCCTCCTGCCTCAGCCTCTCAAGTAGCTGGGACTACAGGCATGTGCCACCATGCCCAGCTAATTTTTTCTATATATACAGATAATTTCTTTCTATTTTTAGTAGAGACGGGGTCTCGCTCTTGCTCAGGCTGGTCTCGAACTCCTGACCTTGAGCGATCCTCCCGCCTCGGCCTCCCAGAGTGCTAGCATTACAGATGTTAGCCACCCTGCCCGGCCTATTACAAAATTTTAATGGGGGTAGTAACAAGGTTCGACACCACCCCCTTGTTGATCTCTGCATTTGAAATGGAGATGCCAAAAAATCATCCTTTTTAAAAATTAAAATATAATTCACATACCATAATATTCATCTGTTTAAAAGTGTATAGTTCAAAATGTTGTGCGACTATCACCACTATCTAATTCCAAAACATTTTCATCACCTCAAAAAGAAATCCCATAGCCATTAAGCAGTCACTGCCCATTTCTCTCCCACCCCTTCCAACCACAAGTCTACTGTCTCCATGGGTTTGCCCATTCTGGACATTTCATATAAATGGAATCATACAATATGTGGCTTTTTGTGACCTGCCTTTTTCACTTAGCATAATGTTTTCAAGGTTCAAGGTTGTAGCATGCATCAGTATTTCATTGCTTTTTATGGCTGAATAACATTTTGTTGTATGGATATGCCACATTTTGTTAATCCATTCATCACATGATGGACATTTGGTTTGTTTCCTTTTTTTTTTTTTTTTTGGCTATTATAAATAATGCTATGAACATTCATTTAAAAGTTCTTGTGGGGCCATGTTTTCAATTATCTTGCATGTGTACACCTAGGAGTGGAATTGCTGGGTCATATGCAAGACTCATTGCCTGAATATTTACTGGCACTGCAGGTATGACCCTGGATGAGCAACGTAACCTTCCTGGGCCTCAGTTTCCTCTTTAGCACGACAGTGATAATAACAATACCAATTTCGTAGGCTGTGAGAATTAAATGAAATATCGCATTTACCGTAGCTCAGTTTATCTGGCACACAGTTATCTGGTTAAGTAAAGTAAGTTGATGACAAGGGAGGGGGCCTCATCCCTGACTCCTCGCTGAGCCTCGGCTAACTACTGTAAAATAAGGGAGGCGGACAAGCGGGCCTCTGCCGGGGAAGCTGCGCGCCTCTCAGGTCGGCGGTCCGCTGCAGACGCCCCCGGACGCCCTGGCCACCAAGACCCTACAGAGCGGTGCTCACGAAGGAAACCGTGAACAGCCAAGCGGCCCGCGACCCAGTGCACTCACCTCCGATTTCTTCGCGCTACTCTTTCAACTGCCAGGCAGGACCCGGAAGTAGATCTTCCGGTAGCGGAAGCAGAACCTTTCCGAGGCCGGAAGCTAGTGTAAGGCAAACATGGCGTCGGCGGTGCTGTCGCTGAGCATGCGGGCAGCGGGTAACTAACGCCGTAACCATAGTGGGGCGAGGGGTAAAAGCAGAGTGCAGATCCAGCAGGGAGGCCGGGAGGTGGAAACCGGTCCTCGCGGAGGACCCCTCGGATACGAGGGGAAGTGTGGGGGGCGCGAGGTTTGAGGGGGCGGCAGTTGATGATCACGTGACATTTCCTGGGCGGAGCTGCGAGGAAGAGAGTTTGAGTAGCACGTTTCCTTCCCTTGCCTCAGAGCCACTGTCCGCTTCCCGGGCGTTTCGGGGTGCGTGTGGACGGTTTCCTTGGCAGTCAAGGGTTTGCGTGGATCCCTTCATTTGTAGGAATGATAAGTATGTCTACCAGTGGGTCAGTCGGGCAAAAAAAAGAAAGACAAAATAAAAATAAAGGATTAGTATTAGTAATATTGGCACATTGGAGCTCAAAAAGTTAATTTATTTATTTAACGGACTGAGGGGTAAGTGTTGGGAAAATTAGCAGAAAACATGAAGACATGATCTCTAGCCCCTGAACGGTTCTTTCTAGTGTATAAATCAGTAAGTAGACACACGTAAATTAAATAGTTGTAAATCGTGACACATGCTGAAGGATGACAGGAGGTTTAGCCCTGTGTTGAATGAGGAGCAGGAGAGTGACTTAATCCACTTTTACATTTTGAGAAACAAGCTAATGCTCTTATGTAAATTTAAAGAGAGTAGTACTGTAAAATAGGAATAATAGGGAAAAAAAGAGAGCTTAGGAGTGGAAGCGAAACTGGATGGGAAGTCGTACTGGTCCTGACAGAGATGATTTAGCCAAGATATTACTGGTGGCAGTGAACCTGGAGGAAAATGGATGGATTTGAGATCTGTTTTGGAGATAGAAGCCACAGAGCTTGCTGGTGAACTGGATGTTTGAGGTGAACAGAGAGAAAGAATCTGCACTGACTCTTTGGTTTCTGCCTGAGCAACTGGATAGGTGGTGGTACCATTTACTTTGAGGAGGACGGGAAGTAGGGTGAAGAGTAAAAAGATCTGTGAATGAGATAACGTAGGTGAAGCAAAAGCCCGGTTCCTGAGCTTAATGAGTGTATGAATGAATAGATGTTTAAAGGTAGGTAGATCCTGGTGCTGGGCATTTAACATGTTGTCTCTCCAAGCCCTTATCTCTGGTCCTTTGCCCAAGCTAGTCTCTGTTCTCATGAAAATGTCAGAAAACTAGGTTTCTGGAACTCTGAACTTACAGGTTCCAGAGACCACAAGGCTTCTGTAAAGACCCTGGCATGGTCCTTAAATCATGGCTGTGGCTGGAGACCTGAAGACAAGGACTTCCATCCATAGGCTTGTCATATATCAAGGTACTTCCATCTTAGTATGAACTTTGGTTCGTTTTCCTTTTTAAAATAAATGTCATTGAGCACTTTAGAATGAATATGGAGAGGTAAGATTAACAAAGGGCAGTGTATTGGTCATGGTTGGACCTCTGCTTGATGGGCTTTGGGAAGAAAGGGCCCAGCTTTCTGAAATGGCCAGGACTCTGTGAGAGCCACCCTCAGATCACCTGCCCTTTTTGTTTACAAGTATCTGGTGTGTGGTAGATAAGTGGATAGCTAAGAAAATGGTGAGTGAGGCTGAGGCAGAAGCCTCTCTCTAGGTGTCCTATTGCTGGGCTCAGAGAGTCTGGCCCCTCCATGGAGCATGAGGGTGAGTGAAGCTCTGAAGCAGGCAGTTCTGCGGTGTCCTCTTGCTGGCTTCGTCTGTTTCTGTGGTGTTTGTTTCTCCTCAGCACATTCAGACTGAATGTGTCAGGACCCAGAGCACATGGTGTTTATTTTGTTTTTCATTTATATTTCACTGCTCCCCCCCACCTACCACCCATACCCCCAACACAGTGCTTACACCCTGGACAATACAAGGAATGAATTGTCCCCTGCTGTGGAAGAAGGCCAGGGACGTCCAGGTATTCCCTGAAAACCACTCAAAAGTGGTATTTCTGCTCCCCTCACATATTATATCTTTCTTGTCTCCCCTGCCACATCTCAACTTAGCAAATGGCCCATTGAGGCAGAGAAAGAGAGTCTGATTGCAAACCTCTATGACTGAGCAGTGTTTCTGTTTTTTCTACATTTACAGCCCTGCTGAGCCCCCCTCCAGCCACAGCTCTTGCTGTCAGATATGCATCCAAGAAGACAGGTGGCAGCTCCAAAAACCTTGGTGGAAAGTCATCAGGCAGACGCTATGGCATCAAGAAAATGGAAGGTGAGGGTGTGCCTTGGCTTCCATCTCCCAGCTGCACCCTACCCTGATGTTCCTTAGGAGAACAGCAAACCTACAAATACCTGGCCCTGTTCTCTCCACTGAAAGGCAGGAATTGATAGTAGGAGAGTGTACTTTGTTTTGTGTGGAACAGAAACTGTTTTAGATTAGAAAAATGTGTTCTCTTTGATTTTAACTAATGCCATTTGCTTCTGTAACCGTGCTTGCTTTTAGTTGTTAGTCAAATATTGTTAATCAAAAAAAAACAGGGCAGGAGTGACTCCATGACAGGCTGAACTTCCTAGAGTAGGCCTAAGTCTCAGTCCCCCTCCCCAAACGCAGATCAGAACTGGCGCCTGCGCAAAAATTGAAAATCCTGAGGCTTGGGACCACCCAATCAGGGGTCAAAACAATCCTCCACTTTTAAAGGAACCAATGGACAAAGGGGGAAAGGGGATGGTGGGCTCAGCGTATCATATGCCACCGGTGTGTCGTGCACAACCAAAAGTATAAAAGCTTCACTTTTACCCCGGGGCGGGGTCCTGGTTCCTAGGGAGGCCACTGCGTTGGTGCTCTGGGACTTGGACCCTAGCTCGAGCTAGCAAATAAACTCCTTTGCCATTTGCATCCTCGGTGACTCTGCTTCTCTGTTCCTGGGGCCGAGGGGGACCGGTTCTTACACCACCATAGCATTTGGCTCTCTAGATTAATGGAGCAGTTAAGACCGGAAGAAGGGGAGGGGCTGAGGAGGAGCGGGTAGGTGTGAAACTTAGCCTTAGACAAGAGGCTCCTGTGCTGGGTGGAAGGCCAAGTGCTGCTTGTGTTGGACCATCTGGGAGTTGTTTTTGGCCAGGGGCAGGCTTAGAGGATGGTGTGCCACATTTGGGCCATCATGTTTTCTTAGCAGTTTGCTGTGCTGCCTGATCACTGGGGCCTGGAGTCAGTGCGCTTTTGGACTTCTCTTCTAGGTCACTATGTTCATGCTGGCAACATCCTTGGGACTCAGCGCCATTTCCGTTGGCACCCAGGTGCACATGTGAGTTGTTCTGTGGCTCCCCTTTTGTCCTGTCTAGGACCACATCTCCATGCCCCTGAGCACAGTAATAACAGTTGCATTTATTGTGTGCTTACCAAATGGCAATCGCTGTGCTGATTCCTATGCCTGCATGATCTCATTTCATCTTTACCACATCCCTGTGTGGTAAGTATCATCTCCGTTTTACAGGTGAAATGCCAGAAATGTAGAGTCCAAGTGAATGCTAGGATTTGAACCAGGTCTGCCTAATTCCCAAATCACTTATGTTTTGCCTTGGTATAGTGTTAGGCTGGTATTCTTGGTTCTCCTTTCTAACCCTCAGTTCTTGGAGCACGAGATGCCTAGTGATTTAATTATTTTTTTGAGTCTTCGGAAACTAATTTCAATTTATTCATTTTTCATGATTTCTAAGAATTCTTCCTTTGCATAAGTTTATTAGTAGGTGGTTGAAAGATAGCTTGAATTTAATAAAATATAATTTAGTGTGTGCTAGAAATTAGGTCCCTATCAGGTGGGGATTTCAGTTTCAGCAAGTTGGGATTCCTTTATGAGGTAGGAAAGTTCTTTGTTTAAGACAGAACTATACTATATCCTTCACATTATTTTAAATATTTAGTTTCCTTTGTAATCAATTTTCCCCCCCTCCTCACCCCTTTTCTGATAATTTTAGTGGACACAGAAAGGCTGATAATAACCTATATTTATTTCAAAGATGCTAACTTTTATGTGAATTGAGTATATATGTAGTAGCTTTATCTTTTAGAACTTGAGACATTGGGTGTGTGGCTACATTAATAACAACAGTAAAAACTAACATGTTTTGAGCTGGGTAGTGTTCTGAGCTCGTGATGATTACTAACTCATTTAATCCTCAAGATGACCCTGTAAAGTAGTTAATATTATCCCCATTTTGCAGATGAAAAAACTGAGGCACAGTGAAGTAAAGTAACTTGCCCAAGACCACACGAATAAGTAGTATTGCTGGGATTTGAAGCAAGCATCCTGGCTCCATCGGAGTCTTTTCTTTTAATTAGAGAGACAGAGAATAGTGCTGGACTGCCTGGGTAAAAATCGCCCTACATCTTTTCTGAAGTTCTAAAAGAAAAGAGCTAAAAAATATAATATAGTTAAAAACTGTATATACAACACAGTTTATTTAACCTCTCTGCTTCATATTTCTCATCTGAAAAACAGTGTTGGAAATAATACCTGTTTCACAGAGTGAAGATTAAATGAGATCATATAAAAGGGCTTGTATCAGTATTAGCTAATGTCACTGCTATTATTATTTTATTAGCATATGCCTTATCTATATGGCTTTGGTCTATACTTTCCATTGAGCCTAAACTTTATAGATCACTATACAGATGAAAGTGCACATCAAACTAGTGTTTAATATTTAACTGTAGTGTTTTTGAAGTCTAAGTGAAGCGCTAGGGGCCTTGATTTGGGGCACATTCCTCTGCCTGGTTTTGGGATCTGTTTAGTGTGGCTTCTGACCACTTGCAAAGACATAGCTCCAAGTATCAGCCCTCTGGGACTGAGCAGGGAGCAGGATTGGCTGTTGGAATGTTCTTTTCCCTCCTTTGTTATGTGTCAGTAAAGAAGCAGAAGGCAAGGAAGTGCTAAGCAGTGGGAAAGGGAACCTGAGGTGGAGCTCTCTGAACCCTCCCCTTCAGCCCCAGGGCCTGAATCCATGTGAGAAGTCTGTCGGAAGCCCTGCAGTGGACCGCCTGGCTCTCTGTCCAGCTGACCAGGTCTGTGTGTTGCAGGTGGGGCTGGGGAAGAGGAAGTGCCTGTACGCCCTGGAAGAGGGGATAGTCCGCTACACTAAGGAGCCCTACGTGCCCCATCCCCGCAACTCGGAGGCTGTGGATCTGGTTACAAGGCTGCCCAAGGGTGCTGTGCTCTACAAGACTTTTGTCCACGTGGTTCCTGCCAAGCCTGAGGGCACCTTCAAACTGGTGGCTATGCTTTGAGGCCATTAGACAGAGACTGGAGCCCAGGTGACAGAAGTCAAGGGTTGAAGTGATGATAAGGCCTCCCAAGGAAGAGGAGGTGTGCTTGGTGAAGGAGTCTCTGCGGGAGACTCTGTGAAGTGACTGCTGAGAAACCCTTTGGGAGACCTGACCTGGGACCAAAAATAAAGTTAGCTGGAATCATGAGCCTGTGCTACTTGGGGACAAACCTGAATGGAACTGCTTACTGTTTCATTGGCCCTTACCTGCATTCTCTAGTGCACACCAAGGGGGTCCTCAAAGCAGGCAAGAGGCCCATCAGAGCAAGGAAATGAGAAGAGGGGACTTTGGAGGAGGGGATTGCTTCAGCACCATCCCCCAGGGAGGAAGGAAGAGGAGAGCTCGTGCTTGGGGGTGTCACTACTACTTTCCCTCTTTTTTTTTTTTTTTTTTGAGACAGAGTCTCACTGTATTGCCCAGGCTAGAGTGCCGTGGCATCAGCCTAGCTCACAGCAACCTCAAACTCCTGGGCTCAAGCGATCCTTCTGCCTCAGCCTCCCCCACCATGCCCAGCTAATTTTTTCTATATATTTTTAGTTGTCTGATTAATTTCTTTCTATTTTTAGTAGAGACGGGGTCTCGCTCTTGCTCAGGCTGGTTTCGAACTCCTGAGCTCAAACAATCCGCCCGCCTGGGCCTCCCAGAGAGCTAGGATTACAGGCGTGAGCCACCGCGCCCGGCCTACTTCCCCTCTTGGATCCCATAAAAGTCCAGTGTCTGGGCCCTGGGAGGAGGGGTGGGGGGAGCCGAAACAACACAGTCATGTTCCTCTACATGCAAAGGGAGCTGGGGCTGCAGCCCCAGAGACGGCCCCCTCCCTGCCTCTGCAGGTCCAGGGTAGAGAGCGAGCTTGTGGGATGGCAGGAGATCTCCTGAGAGGTTCAGTCAGGCCCCATCTGCCCCGAAATACCTAGGACCTTCCAGTGGCAAGGCAGAGTGGGTAACAAATGGCTTCTTCCTGCTCACCCAAAGAGCTAGACATGCTGAGCCCACATTCTTTTCTGGTTCTTGGTTTATTTCCAGCCATAAACAGCAACAAAGAATCTGGCTTCAGGAATCTGAGTGAGGGCCTAGAGTGGGCTGGGGGCAGAGCTTCATTGTCATACCAGCCATGACCTTTAAAGGTTTGGCTTTGAGTAGAGGGCCCAGGAAGGAAATCTTGTTGTGGGGGACAGTCATTCCTAGCTGTTGGAGGTAGGTGGTGTTCACTGCAGTCCAGTGGCTTCCTTTCAAGGACTCTCCTCTGCCCTGAAGGCAGGGGCTCAGGGATTGAGGACAGAGAAGCCTCCCAATCCTAAAATTCTGCCTTGAACTTGTTACCTCATTCTCTCAGGGGGCAACCCTGGATTCTTCACCTCTTGCAGATCCTTGGCAAAGGTGACCTGGGCTTTGTGGGGGTTCACTTTGGCATCCTGCGTGGGGTCCTCAGGTACCAGGGCCCAGCTGGGGTAGTCCTTAGGCAGGGGAGATTGGTGGGGGCTGCCTCCATAAGCTCAGTGCTGTCCCTTCCTGTCTCCTGGAGAAATGGGAAGAGGCAGGACAAGGGTGGTTGCTCCCTCCTACACAGTGGTGTTTCCCTGAGCAGGGCAGGTGGCTGCTTCCTGGGATGGGTGAGCAGAGCCAAGGTTGGGTGGTGCCGCAGGCAGTGACCTTAGGGCTTCCTCATAGCTTGGTGGCAGCTGGAGGGATGGGAGAGCAAAGGCATTAGCTATTCCTGTGCCCTCCCCGCAGATACATACTGCCCTTTTTTTGGGCTGCTGCTTCCTATGTCTCCTCTCCCCTAATGACTGGTCCTTCCAGGAAACAGGTTGGGTCCTAGAGCTGGTGGCTTCATGGAAACCTCTCTGGGTAGGCCTCTCTGGGCTGGGGTCTGCCATTGTTCCCACTATACAAAGAGGTACAATGGGGCCTCCAGCCAAATCTTGGGATTCTCCACTAGTGGCCTTTTCTTTGTCTTGACCCAAGGGGCTCTAATTGGGCATTTTGTATAAAAGAGTGTTGTGTAAAAAGGTCAGTTACCCGGGGCACCCAAGGCTGGGAGGGCTGGAATTTCACCTCTCTGCAGGCCCAGAGCCCGAAGCGCTGTGCAATCAGCTGGTGAATTTGCTGCTGCCGATCCTTCTTTCGAACACTGTCATAGCTGGGCAGGCGAGCTGGCTGCCACAGGGCCAGCTGGTGGCTCCTGAGCAGCCCTACACAGAATATCTCATCCCCCTGGGGATGGCCCTGTGACCAAGAAAAGCCAAGGGAGCCAGGGAGGAATACACCACCATTATCCAGCTTTTATCTGGATCCTCTTCCCCAGACTAAGCCTAAGTTCAGGGGTACTGCACTGTCTCCTCCCCTCCAACAAGCTGCTCTAGGCTTCATCCCAGCCTTCCCCTCCCCTGCATTCTTTTTAGTCCCCCTAACCACACTAGGTCCCTTGCCTGCCTTTAGGACCCAAGCATACCCATTCTCCAACTCCCAGGTGGCAGCCCCAAGAATCCTTACCTGCATCCCCAGGGACTCTACGCTCCTTTCCACTGGCTGGACCACGGTGGAGCATCCCATGGTGCTCAAGCGTGGAGAGGGGCAGCCCTGGGGATCATGAAGGGCAGCTCCAGGTGAAGCTCAGGATTTAGGGTCAGCATGCAAGAGAGCAGAGCCCAAACCCCTTCTCGTCCCCCATGGCCCTTTCTCCATCTCTTTAGTCCTCTCAACTGAGGCCAAGGCACAAAGCACAGACCGTTGGCATTTTTGAAATGCTCTTGGGTGTAAAGAGATTGCTCTCCTCTCTGGACACCAGCTCATTCTCATGATCTGGTCGTCAGCTCTGATGACCTTTAGAGGGAGAGTCAGAAAGCCACCTCCTGCCCCTATCCCTCTGTCCTCAGGCTGGTGCCCAGAGTTGGGGGGTCAGAGCCTGAGATGGGTGCAGCTGATTTCTTTTGCTTTCTATGCATGATGCCATGTGGTGCCCTGTCCCTGGGGAAAGGACTGACAGTGCTGCAGTTGCCATTTATCCCGTCCCACAGAAGTTGGGGCTCTGTGCTTTGCCTGGGGAGCTGGGAAAAGACCCTTGTATTCACTGAGCAGCTGGCCAGGGAGGGGCCTGGCCAGGATCTTATTAACCCTTTCCACACTGCTGCCCTGAAACCCAGGCTGGGTGCCGTGGAGTTCATCAGAGAAGAGATTCCGAAGGCCCCTTCCACACTGAACAAACAGTTGCTTCTCCTGGGCCAGAGCGCAGGTGCCCTTTGGTTAGGACTGGGGTGGAGGGGCACAGGCAAGGGGGTGGTGGGTAGGGGTGCTTACGTGTTGGCTGGGACTCCGAAAGAAGTGGCAGGAGCAGAGGACCTGGCAGCACTGGGGGTCATGCTGATGCAGCAGCAGCAGCAGGATGGCCATGATGAACACCAGGGATGAAACTACCCTCCCCTCAGAGGCACAGTCAGAGGGCAGCAAGCACGGGCCCATCTCCTCCCCAGATGGGAATTCCGCCCCAGAAGGTGGTGCAGGAATGGCCCACTTGGTCTGCTATCAGCTCGACAAGCCAGGCAAACTCAGTTGCAGGCAGCTCCCTTTTTGCCACCACATCACCTCCCTAGGGCCTAGATTCGCGAGGGAGAGCAGAGTAGCTTTCTTTATCCCATCTCTGCCTTCAGCCCAGGGAAGGAGTGATGTGTGTAAGGGAGGTTTTACAGAGGGACAAACTCAGGGAAGGGAAGGAGCAGATTCCCTTAGAAACAGGGGATCTGAGGTGGCAGGAGAGGACCCAAGAGCCTGAACTCCCAGCCCCTCTCCTGTATCAAAGGCTGTGGTATATGGCAGAACTTGGCATTGACAGGGAAGGGACCTCAGGGATCAAACACCAACCATGCACAGCCTTCTTTGCAAGTGGCTCAGGGAGGGATGTTGCTCTAGGTGACCCTGTAGAGGAAAAGGCTGGGCTTCCAATTTATGGTAAGGGGCCAAGAGTGCCTCTGCCCTACCCTGGGACTCAGAATGGCAATGGGTACTCACCAGTGGCCACGACTATGGCTAAGAGGCTGTTGTCCATGGTGATCTCTGCACATGGAGAAGCAGTGGCAGGGGGTGCCAAGAAAGGGCATCGGCTTTGAGGGCAGCCAGCAGGGCCACAGAGCTGGCTCTCCCCCAGGTGCCACACCCCTCCCCAGGAACCCAGGCACAGAGGATTAACTTCATTCAGAGGAGGGACATCTGTGAGCAGCTCTCCAGGTTCTCAGCCTCTCCTGCCCCTGCTTGTCCTGGCTGATGCTGTGCCATGGCCTATTGTTGCGTAGATGGCACTCCCTTCTGCATGCCTGTTAGCTGTGACAGTCCCGGGTTGGCGGGAACAGGCCTGGCTTCTGCTAAACCTGACAGGGAAGCTCCAAGTCGCCCAGATCTCTGCACTTCTCAGTCCCAAATCCCTCCCAGCCCGACTGCCCACCTCCACTTCCCATTGGCCCAGGTAACTGGGCTCTGGGTGCCAATTGGCTTTCCTCTGGTCTTGGCTTCCACCTCTAAGGTTCCCCTGGTGTCAGCGGTTGCCCTGGAAACAGGGCACGCGGGCCATAAAATACAAAAGCCAGAGAGGCCAGGCTCTCTTCCCTCCAAAGCAGTTATTGTGCAGCTCTGGGGGCCCAGCCTGCCTAAGCCTGCTCCCTGCCCCCACCCCATATCCTCCCTGGGCTGAATCCTAATCTTGACCCCAGGGGCCCAGCCAGGGGAGGATTTCAAAGAAACCTCAAAAAACCCAAGACAGGCCCAGGCATGCTGGCTCACGCCTGTAATCCTAGCTTTGGGAGGCCGAGGCAGGTGGATCATTTGAGCTCAGGAGTTCGAGACCAGCCTGAGCAAGAGCGAGACCCCGTCTCTACTAAAAAAATAGAAAGAAATCAGCTGGACAACTAAAAATATATATAGAAAAAATTAGCCAGGCATGGTGGCACATGTCTGTAGTCCCAGCTACTCGGAGGCTGAGGCAGTAGGATCGCTTGAGCCCAGGAGTTTGAGGTTGCTGTGAGCTAGGCTGACGCCATGGCACTCTAGCCCAGGCAACAGGGTGAGACTCTATCTCAAAAAAAAAAAAAATACCCAAGCCTCCAGGCCAAGCTACCCCTGTAGAAAGGTGGGGGGCGGGGACCACTGCCAGCAAC